TTTAGGAGAGCTAATTGTGCATCGTCTTAAAAAGTGATGTGTGGTTTTTTGCACTTAAAACTAAATTTTAAGGTACCAGGTGACCCAATAAGACTGTTCCTCGGCCATATCTCGAGAGCCGTTCGTCGTATGACTTAGGGCTAAAAAAAATTATTGGGTAAATCGGTCATGAAGAATCGCTGGAAAATATTTTCAAGTTCTAAAAATGACCAACAGAGGGCGTAACTGCCACCTTCAATTTTAAAATTGAATTTTCTTTAAATTTCCCATAATAAACTAAAAAAAGTTTTTCATATTTTTAAAGAGAACCTATTTATCTATCATTTTCGTAAAAACAAAACCTCAGTTATTTCAAAAACAAAGATGGCTTGGGGCGTTCAATTGTTTTTGCAATAACCGTCTTTAACTTCTTAACGGTGTGACTGATTTTAATAAATTTGGTATGGTTGAAAAGAGCATTCCTTGTACAATGAGAATCAACCAAAATATAGTTAATTTAGTTGAATCCTTCTCCGCCAGGGGGCTAGTTTTGACACTACGATCCAAAATCCTAAAAAAATCTAAAAAATCAAATGGAATGATATGACTTTTTCTTTATGAAAAAGTAGCCAAATAACATCCAAAGAGGCCAGTGAAAACCGTTTTTCAAAAACTCGTTCCTAACCTCAAATATTGGGAAAATGAGATTAATTAATTAATTAATTAAAACGCTTAAATTGTATCTTATATGACGTATTTCCGGTATTTGTCGATGGCGCGAAAGATTGTTTGGAAAAGGACCCTAGGTAGGCCATGGAAAATTAAACAAATGAAACACGATGCATTATAAAATAATAACAGCCGTAATTTGTTCTGCCGTGTTTACATTCAGAAAGTGCAGTTTTTGAATTTGTAATTATTTCGAAAATGCTGATTTCTAACCACGAAGCATTTAATATGCTGGCGGCGATGGTTCATGGTCGATTCGGATAACGCAAATAGAAGATGCGGGCAGCGATGGTCGCATTTTGAAAATACTCAAAATATATCGCCAGCATATTAAATGCTTCTTGGTTAGAAATCAGCATTTTAGAAGTGATTACAAATTCAAAAACTTCACTTTCTGAATGTAAACACAGCATAATACTTTACAAATTACGGCTGCTATTATTTTATAATGCATCGTGTTTCATTTGTTTAATTTTCCAAGGCCTACCTAAAAGTGTAGGGTGCTTTTCTTTCGCGCCATCGACAAATACCGGAAATACGTAAAAAGTAAATTTAAGATACAATTTTATTAATTAATTAATCAATCTCATTTTCCCAATATTTGAGGTTAGGAACAAGATTTTGAAAAACGGTTTTCACTGGCCTCTTTGGATGTTATTTATAATTATATTATTATATAATTATATTATTTATAAAGAAAAAATCACATCATTCCATTTGATTTTTTTAGGATTTTGGATCATAGTGTCAAAACTAGCCCCCTGGCCGAGAAGGATTCAACTAAATTAACTATATTTTGGTTGATTCTCATTACCCAAGGAATTCTCTTTTCAACGATCTCAAATTTGTTAAAATCGGCCAAACGGTTAAGAAGGTAACGCAGGTTATTGCAAAAACAATTGAACGCCCCACGCCATCTTTGTTTGTGAAATAACTGAGTTTTTTTTTACGAAAATTATACATAAACTGATTCTCTTTAAAAATGTGAAAAAAGAATGTTTAGTTTACTCTGCAAAATTTAAAGAAAATGCAATTTTAAAATTTAAGATGGCAGTACGCCCTCTGGTGGTAATTTTTAGAACTTGAAAATATTTTCCAGCGATTCTTCATAACCGATTTACCCAATAACTTTTTTTACCCCTAAGTCATACGACGAACAGTTCCCGAGATATGGCCTAGGAACAGTCACCCGATACAAAAATCTATTTGCATGTAAGGCACAAATTAAAGGTTCTAAATGATTGTCACGTAGACCTTGTTTTGGTGTCAGCACCTTCAATAAGTTTGGGCCACCATGTATGTCATAGAATTTCAATTTACGAGTGAACACAAAGTGTTGTTTTCAATTTAGAATTTTGTGTAGATGAGTAATTTTATCGATTTTGTAATTCGTTCAATTTAGATAAGGTGTTAGAAGTAAGGGCACATATGGTCGTTTGCGATAAGAAGTGTTATTATCAAGCGAAAAAAAAGTGAGTACAAGTGTTAAGAGTCAACTAAGCAATTGTTGCATTATTAAAAGTAATAGTGTTCGAAAAGTCACAAAATCTAATTGAACAATCCAGTTCCAGTCATTGAAGTGAAGTTTCTTGAAACTGTCAGCGAGTGTTTTGGTATCAGTGCTATATCGCAGATTTGTTACGATGAGAGTAAATGTAAGTAATTAAGTTTCGGATTTAATTATCTGTCGACCGCCTGCGTGCGGGGTATGTGCAAAAAAACAGGCTCCAAACGCCTCTCTTTCTTTCAGCGTCTTATTTAATTTTGTTTTACGGAATAAATTGTTGCTTTTCCCAATTAATTGTGTGTTTATTCGAACCCAAAGTGCGACCGTGATAAAGTTGTCATGTCAGATTTTTCTATTCGTGCCCAAGCATTGTCAGATGTTAATTAAAATTAAAAAGTTTTTGTTTTTACGAAAATGATAGATAAACTGATTCTCTTTAAAAATGTGAAAAAAGAATGTTTATTTTACTCTGCGAAATTTAAAGAAAATGCAATTTTAAAATTTAAGATGGCAGTTACGCGCTCTGGTGGCAATTTTTAGAACTTGAAAATGTTTTCCAGCGATTCTTCATAAACGATTTACCCAATAATTTGTTTACCCCGAAGTCATACGACGAACAGTTCCCGAGATATGACCGAGGAACAGTCTTATTAGGTCACCCGGTACAAAAATCTATTTGCGTGTAAGGCACAAATTGTTAAAGGTTCTAAATTATTGTCACGTAGACCTTGTTTTGGTGCCAGCACCTGCAATAAATTTGGGCCACCCTGTATGTCATAGAATTTCAATTTACGAGTAAACACAATCTCAGTGTTGTTTTCGATTTAGAATTTTGTGTAGATGCGTAATTTTATCGATTTTGTAATTTGTTCAATTTAGATAAGGCGTTAGAAGTAAGGGCACATCTGCTCGTTTGCGATAGGAAGTGTTACTATTAAGCGAATTTTAATCAAGGCACAGAAAAGTGAGTACACGAGTCAACTAAGCAATTGTTGCATTATTAAAAGTAATAGTGTTCGAAAAGCCACAAAATCTAATTGAACAATCCAGTTCCAGTCATTGAAGTGAAGTGAAGTTTCTTGAAACTGTCAGCGAGTGTTTTGGTGTCAGTGCCATATCGCAAATTTGTTACGATCAGAGTAGGTGTAAGTAATTAAGTTTCGAATTTAATTATCTGTCAACCGCCTGCGTGCGGGGTATGTGCGAAAAAACAGGCTCTAAACGCCTCTCTTTCTTTCAGCGTCTTATTTAATTTTGTTTTACGGAATAAATTGTTGTCTTTCTCAATTAATTGTGTGTTTATTCGAACCCAAAGTGCGGCCGTGATAAAGTTGTCATGTTAGATTTCATCTCTGTCTAGCCCATGCGAAGAAAAAGACAAAAGTTTGGCAGTGCGCGACTGTTTTTATACTAGACGACGTCTATCGTCTAGTATGTACGTTTAGATACATGTCGACGTTCATGTTGCTAGGTAATATATCAGTGTAGTAAAATACGACTCAAATGAGCCTGGTAAAGCGGCTATTACTGGATAGTATAAAATAAAGGATCTTGCAGACTTTTCAAAATTTGGATATGTAACACTTTTCGAGATAATTAAAATCGTTTAATAACGCTCAAAAACTTTTAAAGGCCTGAAAAGACAGTAAAATCTTGTGGAAACAATAGAAAAATGTAGTTATACACGTCTAGTTTAAAATTATAGATCAGAAATTCAACCAGTCAGGTAAACTCCTGACTTGACTTTCCAACTACTTTTAATAGAATCATTGTAATTATCTTTATCATCATAGTAACGGGCGATCAAAAATGAGTTGCTGTCGAGTCGCCTTTGGAAGTTCAAGTTAAATATGATTTTCCATGTAAACAAAAATTCCAAAAGTAACTCGACAGCAACTCATTTTTGATCGCATAGTATAACATTTAGAAAATACCTCTAGCGGCTTTATTTTGAACCCGATGAAAAAAGTATAGAAGCCTTTTTTGTAGATTTCATCAAGACACATCTTTTTTGTAGAGTGTTTTAAGCCATTTTGACCACTGTATACGAAAAAAATTAAAAAAGAATATGTTTAAGCCGTTATGGATCTTTTAAACTGTTGACACCCTCAACAACCATGAAGCTGGTTGCGGATCAAAACCAAAATAGAACGACGAAGCTGTATTATTAAGACAGCGAAGGCCTCCTTTCAATCTTACATATGTTTCATAGCAATGCTCGATTTGAAAGCCCAATGCAACGAAAGCTTTGTAGGTAACGGTTGTCTCTTCGTACATGAAGTGAAAACGTAACCAGGTCGATACAAATATTTCTTCTAATTTGCACAATTGAGGCTGAAATTCTTGATCTATTGTTGATGTTCATGGAAAGGCACTCTTGCAACAATATTTAGCACCTTTTCTACTAAAATAATAATTTAAACGTACAGGTAAATCCGCTTCATGCTCGTGTTGCATACGTCGCCCATCTCTTTATGAATGTGAATGAATGCGAATCACGCACTCATCTCTTTTACACGCCCCTAATTTATGGTATTGCTAATTTTTATATACACGGTAATTCAAAATTATATATATTCAGACATCATCTGTCATCAAAAGTGTCTTGATGTATTGTGAAAGTGGTTGAGGGATAAACAGCCCTTAAGAGTTCAGAAAGATTATAACAACGTCAAGGATCTTAAGGGCGCCAAAGACCTACAATCTTAATTGACTTAACAATTGCTCTACCAACATTTACAACATTCTTCGTATATGTAGATGAACTTGAGATCAAATCGAATTTTATTCAGGGACATGAAACAATTGTTAATCTCTTAATCGCGAGCAATTAAATTCGAATCAAAAATGAATTACCAAATTGCACATGATGTTCTGCGGTCGAGAGGCATTTCGAAAAATGTTGTTGCTACTCGCACTACTCGTCCACGTGAACGCGTTTTATGTAAGGGAAACTACCACCAAATCCACCACTAATCATATTTCTTTAAGCAAAATGCGTACGATGTTACTCAAGAACGTTTGGAAGTCGAATATTACGATCCTACCTTCTCGAACGTTTCCTGCACCAACTACAAGTATAACCGAACGACACCTACGTTTGTGTTAGCGATAAACCTTAAGATAGATTTGACTGACGGAGATCTGGTAAAACATTGACCCACCCTTCGTGTTGTACCGAGTAATTTTTAGGTTATGGTAACGGGTCACAAATGGCTGAGTAACCGTTACCGCCTGGACATACTGCAATTCAACGTGACAATCAAAGATGGTATTCACTTCAAGTACTTTGATATAGATCGCCTGGTGCGTTCCTGTATGACACCTCCCTTCGAATGGCCTCCCATCAAGGGGGTAAGTTCTAATTCGACCGGCCTATGATTTTTGTAACGGTGGAGCTAGGTGACATATACGGTGAGAGATTGGGTGCCTGATAGCACTAAGTTTCCTCCGGGCATGCCAGAAGGAAGGTGGAAAATAGCGACGCGGGTTGTAACTGTCGACGGGAAACACCTGTTTTCTTTCAACTGGTATTGCGCCTTGAAGTACAAGCTTAGAATGGAATCGAAGTAATGCACGCGTTCCAACAAGTAGGGCAATAAATTGTAGTATTTTACTGCCAGTAGTACTTAAACACAAAGTGTTATTACTCACGCTCTATTTTGGATTCAAAGGGACGACTGCACACATTATTTTGAAGGTTAACAACTGCACAATACACTAGGAATAGGAGGTCTTGGGAGTACGCGTCCGAACATCAGACGAATAAAGCACCATGTTCCGAACGAGTGACCAGCTCCCCATCTGAGGGGTAGGATTCTGCTACCGATCACTTTCTAGTTTTTAATGCATGTGCGGTATAAGTAGTGGTTCAGCATGTAATTTTTACCAAAGTTGTTAATTGCACCAAATACAAGGTCAATCCTATGTTTTTTTTTCACCATTTTTGAGGCGCGAAAATATTCACAACTCAGCGATAGGTACTGCAACACGCGAAAATGAACCAAAATTTGGATTCGATGTTGTAAACAAACTTTGGGCAACATATTCGGTCTCACCATCAGGTGGTCGGTGGTTTTCTGTAACGTGGTCTGCGTTGTCATTGGGAATGCTCTTTGATGTAGCCGTTGAGCCAGAGGGCATGTGCGGTTTCGCTTCTGGGGAGTAAGTGTAACCTACAAATTTTGATTCAGCATAAAGCTAGGATCAATGTTTGAGATGATACTTTGTGACTTTGGAATGGTAAACTACAATTTTAGCCCGGCGGCCATCTTTGTGACGTCGTAACGTAATTAAAATACCAAATTTCACAAAGTATCATCTCAAACACTGATCCTAGCTTTATGCTGAATCAAAATTTGTATGATTCTATTACTCTTTCCAAATGAAGATAACCTTTGGAATGGTAAACAACAATTTTAGCCCGGCGGCCATGTTTGTAACGTCGTAACGTAATTAAAATACCAAATTTCACAAAGTATCATCTCAAACACTGATCCTAGCTTTATGCTGAATCAAAATTTGTATGATTCTATTACTCTTTCCAAATGAAACCAAACTTTGGAATGGTAAACTACAATTTTAGCCCGGCGGCCATCTTTGTGACGTCGTAACGTAATTAAAATACCAAATTTCACAAAGTATCATCTCAAACATTGATCCTAGCTTTATGCTGAATCAAAATTTGTATGATTCCTATTACTCTTTCCAAATGAAACCAAACTTTGGAATGGTAAACTACAATTTTAGCCCGGCGGCCATCTTTGTGACGTCGTAACGTAATTAAAATACCAAATTTCACAAAGTATCATCTCAAACACTGATCCCAGCTTTATGCTGAATCAAAATTTGTATGATCCTATTACTCTTTCCAAATGAAACCAAACTTTGGAATGGTAAACTACAATTTGAGCCCGGCGGCCATCTTTGTGACGTCGTAACGTAATTAAAATACCAAATTTCACAAAGTATCATCTCAAACACTGATCCTAGCTTTATGCTGAATCAAAATTTGTATGATTCTATTACTCTTTCCAAATGAAACCAAACTTTGGAATGGTAAACAACAATTTTAGCCCGGCGGCCATCTTTGTGACGTCGTAACGTAATTAAAATACCAAATTTCACAAAGTATCATCTCAAACATTGATCCTAGCTTTATGCTGAATCAAAATTTGTATGATTCTATTACTCTTTCCAAATGAAGCCAAACTTTGGAATGGTAAACAACAATTTTAGCCCGGCGGCCATCTTTGTGACGTCGTAACGTAATTAAAATACTGAATTTCACAAAGTATCATCTCAAACATTGATCCTAGCTTTATGCTGAATCAAAATTTGTATGATTCTATTACTCTTTCCAAATGAAGCCAAACATTGGAATGGTAAACTACAATTTTAGCCCGGCGGCCATCTTTGTAACGTCGTAACGTAATTAAAATACCAAATTTCACAAAGTATCATCTCAAACACTGATCCTAGCTTTATGCTGAATCAAAATTTGTATGATCCTATTACTCTTTCCAAATGAAGCCAAACTTTGGAATGGTAAACTACAATTTTAGCCCGGCGGCCATCTTTGTGACGTCGTAACGTAATTAAAATACCTGAATTTCACAAAGTATCATCTCAAACATTGATCCTAGCTTTATGCTGAATCAAAATTTGTATGATTCTATTACTCTTTCCAAATGAAGCCAAACTTTGGAATGGTAAACTACAATTTTAGCCCGGCGGCCATCTTTGTGACGTCGTAACGTAATTAAAATACCAAATTTCACAAAGTATCATCTCAAACACTGATCCTAGCTTTATGCTGAATCAAAATTTGTACGATCCTATTACTCTTTCCAAATGAAACCAAACTTTGGAATGGTAAACTACAATTTTAGCCCGGCGGCCATCTTTGTGACGTCGTAACGTAATTAAAATACCGAATTTCACAAAGTATCATCTCAAACATTGATCCTAGCTTTATGCAGAATCAAAATTTGTATGATTCTATTACTCTTTCCAAATGAAAGCAAACTTTGGAATGGTAAACTACAATTTTAGCCCGGCGGCCATCTTTGTGACGTCGTAACGTAATTAAAATACCGAATTTCACAAAGTATCATCTCAAACATTGATCCTAGCTTTATTATGATTCTATTACTCTTTCCACATGAAACCAAACTTTGGAATGGTAAACTACAATTTCAGCCCGGCGGCCATCTTTGTGACGTCTTAACGTAATTAAAATACCGAATTTCACAAAGTATCATCTCAAACATTGATCCTAGCTTTATGCAGAATCAAAATTAGTATGATTCTATTACTCTTTCCAAATGAAACCAAACTTTGGAATGGTAAACTACAATTTTAGCCCGGCGGCCATCTTTGTGACGTCTTAACGTAATTAAAATACCGAATTTCACAAAGTATCATCTCAAACATTGATCCTAGCTTTATTATGATTCTATTACTCTTTCCGAATGAAACCAAACTTTGGAATGGTAAACTACAATTTGAGCCCGGCGGCCATCTTTGTGACGTCGTAACGTAATTAAAAACCCTTTTAGACAATCTCAGTTCTTCTAAACTGTAATGCAACGAGAAACTCTTATGGTATAACAAAATAAGAAAAGAACCCGTTTCTTGCAACCCTGCAGTCTGGACAAACCAGCCAATCCATTTATTTAAAATAAAAAACATTTACGGTTTCACCATCCAAGAGCCATTAATTCTGCGAGATCCTGTACTTACTTCTAAAGAGTGAAACATGGCCCGTGCAAATTGATCGGCATCCTCTTTCGAGCTGAAATTCAGTCCGTAAACGTGTTTATTGTCTCGCCACTGGTGAAACGTCGCGGTCGCCTGGTTGTATTTCAGTCCTTTTAAAATGGCACAGTTGATGACAACCTACAAAACTTCGTTAGTCTCATGTAGGACAACCGGAACGATGGTACTGTACCTCGTGATCTTGCAATTTTCGTCCGACCACCCGAAAGGTTTGCTGTACGGTGTGCTGGTAGATGTGCACCTTGGACAGTCCCGAAGACGAGCCCGACGGAACCCATTTTTTGTTAACATCGTCGTAGACCATAACACTAGCACGAGCACTTGCGATCGACTGCTCACTAAAAAAAGAGAGACTGTTAACGTTTGCCAGCCGAGCCAGGGGACAACATGCAGCATGCAACAACAAAAAACCGACCAAGCCCAGTAATTCTCCCAACTCTTCCGAATCGAGTCCTGTCTCAACTCGATGTTGTAGTGATCCTCAATCTCCTGATAAATCTTTTCGAAATCTTCGTCCATTTTGACGCGCGCGCGAGGTTCGAGCACTAAACGGATAATGAGTCGTCGCTCATAGCAGATGACTAACTAAAAATTACACTGACACGAATTGTTATATTAAACCAGGAAGTAGGGTAGCAAAGTTCAATATTTGTATGAAGCAGGCGATTACGTTACATTCTTTTATCAGGTGCCTCCCCCCCTCGCGTCGCGCGAAATCAATGAGCGGCTAATCAATTTTTCTTGGCGTTAATTGCCCACTTTCACTTTTTGGAATTTTAATCGCGCGCGCGGTGATGACTGATGACTTCATCAAAACTACCTGTTGATAAGATACACGGGCGAGGTCGTAGAAATCCAAGTTCCGTTGAAGTTTTTCTTTGTTACAAAAAGCTGGATAAAGGCGGTTAATTGAATGTGGGTCATGAAAACTTCGATGTCAAGATCGTCGACCGCGGTCCGCACGCTTATTTATTATTATTTACGCGAACGATTTTCCACACTTTAGCTACCCGGCGGATACGACGACTTCTGATAAAATGAGTAACGTGCGCGCAATTTCCAATTCAATTTAATCTGTTTCGTCACCAATCAATTATTGCTGGATTTAATCATCGGTAGGTAGTAGGTATGGTATTAATAAAAAAAACAAATCAAGAACTAACTTTTTATTGAACTGAAAGTGTTGCAAACCGAACTCAATTTAAAAGAGACGCCTGAAGTTGCTTAAAAAGTTTCCATAAATTTCCGTTTCCCAAAAAGATTTTCAAGAAATTTTCTCTAAAAATATTGTTCAGAAAATTCCCAGGAATAGTTGAATTTCTACGCTGACTTTAAAAACCGGTAAAAAAATCCTATTTATAAGGAAATTCTTTTAGAAGATTTGCTAAAAATACTAAAATTCCTAGAAACATTTCGAAAGAGTCTAAGATTCAAAAAAGTGATCCTAAGTTTACAGCAAAAATCGCCTATGAAGAGAGTGCGATGAAGATCTTCGTTATTTCCTAAAAAAAAATACCCCCCCTGTCTTTCTACGATCCTGATACAAGTTTTAAAGAAGCAATTTCTATTAGGGGAGTAACGAAAGTGAACACGTCGTCGACAAAAAATATCATTGTATTCCTGTGATCCCGATAAACACGAAATCTTAAATAGAAAAATCAAAAAGAAAGGGAACGTGAGGAGGTCTTCGCCAATAAATTATTTCGTTGTATTTCTGTGATCCTCATTCAACAAACATTGAGAGAGTAAAGAAAGAGACATTTCTATTAGTGAAATACATAAAGGTAAAGTAAAAACGTTACTAAATAACACCTCCTTGTCTTTCCGAGATCCTGATAATTTTTAAAAAAGAAATTTCTATTAGCGGAAAAAAGAAATTCAATTATCTCCTAAAAACATCTCTGCGATCCTGCTCATTAGAAATTCTGCTGCAGTGCGTCTGGGGGGAATACCCCCCAGGAAAAAAAGCTTTTGAGTGTTACCCAGTGATGCATCCTCTCCCCAAGACCTTTACAATCAGTTTTTGTCATTATTCTAGGGCAGCGTTTCTCAAACTTTTTTAAACGCAGAGCCTCTATCAAGTGGAATGTAAGATGACAGAGCCCCAGCAAGGGTGATGTGTCCATTTCAGGTAATTGTTTGTGCAACTTTTGAGAAACAAGAATAATCTTACCTCTCTGAGATCCTGATACAACTTTTGAAGAAGAAATCTCTATGAGGAGAGTAAAGACCGTGAGCACCTCTTCCTCAATGAATTAATTCTAAAAAAACACACCTTTTTGTCTTTCTGTGATCCTGCCAGAGAAAGTTGTAAAAACAAATTTCTATTAGGAGAATACAAGAAATTATTTCCTCTCTCTCTCTCTCTCTCTTCTCTCTCTCTCTCTTCTCTCTCTCTCTCTCTCTCCGTTCTCTCTCTCCTCATCTCTCTCTCTCTGAAATCCTGATACAATTTGCAAGAGAAATCTCTATGAAAGGAGAGTAAGACCGTGAGAGCCCTCTTCACTCATTAAATTATTCTAACAAAAACACACCTTTTTGTCTTTCCTGTGATCCTGCCAGAGAAATTGGAAAAACAAATTTCTTTAGGAGAGTAAAAGACATTATTTCCTCTCTCTTCTGAAATCCTGAATACAACTTTATGAAGAAGAAATCTCTATGAGGAGAGTAAAGACCGTGAGCACCTTTTCCTCAATAAATTAATTCTAAAAAACACACCTTTTTGTTGTAATCCTGCCAGAGAAAGTTGTAAAAACAAATTTCTATTAGGAGAGTAAAAGAAATTATTTCCTCTCTCTCTCTCTCTCTCTCTCTCTCTCTCTGAAATCCTGATACAACTTTTGAAGAAGAAATCTCTATGAGGAGAGTAAAGACCGTGAGCACCTCTTCCTCAATAAATTAATTCTAAAAAAAACACACCTTTTTGTCTTTCTGTGATCCTGCCAGAGAAAGTTGTAAAAACAAATTTCTATTAGGAGAGTAAAAGACATTATTTCCTCTCTCTCTGAAATCCTGATACAACTTTTGAAGAAGAAATCTCTATGAGGAGAGTAAAGACCGTGAGCACCTTTTCCTCAATAAATTAATTCTAAAAAACACACCTTTTTGTTGTAATCCTGCCAGAGAAAGTTGTAAAAACAAATTTCTATTAGGAGAGTAAAAGAAATTATTTCCTCTCTCTCTCTCTCTCTCTCTGAAATCCTGATACAACTTTTGAAGAAGAAATCTCTATGAGGAGAGTAAAGACCGTGAGCACCTCTTCCTCAATAAATTAATTCTAAAAAAACACACCTTTTTGTCTTTCTGTGATCCTGCCAGAGAAAGTTGTAAAAACAAATTTCTATTAGGAGAGTAAAAGACATTATTTCCTCTCTCTCTGAAATCCTGATACAACTTTTGAAGAAGAAATCTCTATGAGGAGAGTAAAGACCGTGAGCACCTCTTCCTCAATAAATTAATTCTAAAAAAACACACCTTTTTGTCTTTCTGTGATCCTGCCAGAGAAAGTTGTAAAAACAAATTTCTATTAGGAGAGTAAAAGACATTATTTCCTCTCTCTCTGAAATCCTGATACAACTTTTGAAGAAGAAATCTCTATGAGGAGAGTAAAGACCGTGAGCACCTTTTCCTCAATAAATTAATTCTAAAAAACACACCTTTTTGTTGTAATCCTGCCAGAGAAAGTTGTAAAAACAAATTTCTAATAGGAGAGTAAAAGACATTATTTCCTCTCTCTCTGAAATCCTGATACAACTTTTGAAGAAGAAATCTCTATGAGGAGAGTAAAGACCGTGAGCACCTCTTCCTCAATAAATTAATTCTAAAAAAAACACACCTTTTTGTCTTTCTGTGATCCTGCCAGAGAAAGTTGTAAAAACAAATTTCTATTAGGAGAGTAAAAGACATTATTTCCTCTCTCTCTGAAATCCTGATACAACTTTTGAAGAAGAAATCTCTATGAGGAGAGTAAAGACCGTGAGCACCTTTTCCTCAATAAATTAATTCTAAAAAACACACCTTTTTGTTGTAATCCTGCCAGAGAAAGTTGTAAAAACAAATTTCTATTAGGAGAGTAAAAGAAATTATTTCCTCTCTCTCTCTCTCTGAAATCCTGATACAACTTTTGAAGAAAAAATCTCTATGAGGAGAGTAAAGACCGTGAGCACCTCTTCCTCAATAAATTAATACTAAAAAAACACACTTTTTTGTCTTTCTGTGATCCTGCCAGAGAGTTGTAAAAACAAATTTCTATTAGGAGAGTAAAAGAAATTATTTCCTCTCTCTCTCTCTCTCTGAAATCCTGATACAATGATTGTTAAACCAAAAATTTCTAATAGGAGAGTAGATAACATAAGAGCCTTTATCAGTAAATTACTTCCTAAATATATCTCCCTGCATTTCTCTGACCAGAAAGAGACAATTTCTATCCTATTCTTAGATATTCTTAGGATTGATGTTAGAAATAGTAAACCCCACGTCCTTGTCTGTCTACGTGGCCGAAACTTCTATTAGAGGAATAAAGAACGTGAAGAGGTCTTCAATAAATTTAATTTTTTATAACCTAAAACCGAGCTTAAAACACGCCTTGGCTTTCTGTAATCCCGATAAAAGTTCTGACATTTTTTTTTATTAGGAGATCAATAAATTCGTTAGTAAACAAACCTCCTCGTCTTTCTGAAATTCGAATACAATTGTTGAACAGGAAATTTTTATCCGGAGAGTCGACAAATAGGAATTTCTCAAAAACACCTCATGGTCTTTGTGTGATCCTGATGCAAGTTTTAAAAATGAAATTTCCACTAGGAGAATAAAGAACGTAAGGAGGGTTTCGGCAATAAATTATTTCCTAAAAACCACATTACCGTCATTTTGTGATCCTGATACAACAATTATTGAACCAGTACCCACTTTCTGTTACAGAAGTAAAGAATATTTTCTAAATAAAGCCTCCTTGCTTTTCTGTAGTCCTGGTAAGGAGATCTTGAGTCAATAAATCTCCGACAACAATCGCTGCGGTCCTGATACAATTACGGAAAAAATGTTGTTAGACAAAAAACGTGAGATGCTTTTCGTTTTTCTAAATAACACCTCCTTGTCTGTCTATAATCCTGACAAGTTTTAAAAAATTATGTATGAGGTAAGTAGAGAACGTGATATCTTTGTCAAACATTCTTTCCTAAAGAGCACAACTCGTGGTTTTTCCGTGATCCTGCTACAAGTTTTAAAAGACAGACGAGTAAAAAAATGAGGAAGTCTTCAGCAATAAAATAATTCCTCAAATACACGTCCTTGTCTTTCTGTAATCCTGATTCAAGGTAAAAAATGTCTCTTAAGGTCATAAAGAATATAAGTCTATAAATTACGATAAATTATGTCCTCAAAAGATCTGCTTGTCTTTCTGAGATCCTGATACCGCTTTGTGATTCTGTAATCCTGATACCAAATTCAACGATTGTTGAAAAAAAATTCTATCACAAAAGTCAGGAACTTCAGTGCATGAGGAGCTGAAAGACACCTCCTTGTGTTTGTTAATGTACCTGAGGGGGTCTTCGTCAATAAATTGCTGTGCTTTTGCGATCCTGATACGATTCAGGAAAAGTGGTCAGAGTCAGGAAAGTCAAGAAAACACCTCTTGTGTTTCTATAATCCTGATAGTAATTTCAAGATCTATTAGGAGAGTAAAGAACCGGAGGTATTCATCAATAAATTACTGTACTTTTGCGATCCTGACACAACGATTATTTAATAAAAATTCTGTCAGTAAAGTCCGAAAGACACCTCCTTGTGTTTCTGTAATCCTGATAGCAATTTCAAAATCTATTAGAGGAGTTACAATGATTGTTGAAGAAAAAATTCTATTAGAAGAGTCGGAACTTCAGAATCTCCTAGACACGTCGTTGTGTTTCTGTAATCCTGATAACAATTTTTTTTTTAAATCTATTAGGAGAGGAATGAAGCTGAGGCATTCGTCAATAAATTACTGTGCTTTTGCAATCCTGATACAACAATTGTTGAATAAAAATTCTGTCACGAAAGT